CCCACTATCATCAATATTATCAATATAATTAAATAATATCAATCAATCATTCTTACACACAACATCCACCTTAATTCACTATTTATCTACTCACATAAATTTAACTAACTATCACATCACATTTTCTCTCTCTTACTTTTACATCAATTTAATTTTAATTATTTTATTTTAAATATTATTTTATTATATCCACTAACAACTAACTATACCTACTTTTTCAAATTTAACCAACCCAAATCAAAACAAAAACAAATTTATATCCAAGCATGGTGTTAACATTCAGAATTTTCAGCAATGAGTATACTAGGTGTATGATGTCATTTTGTCTTAAAGGTGGCCTTATGAGGTAATGGAAGTATAAAATTTCTTGAACTACGTTCTTCTTTCTGGATTTGTGGGCAAAGTTTTTTCTTGATGAATGGTGATTCAACATAAATATAGGTATTAGCATATTGTTCCTGAACTGTTTGGATGTCCAATGTCCTATGTATAAAGAAATACCGAATCTTTGGAAAATTCTTGAATATATGAATATGATGGGCATCTCTCTCTCTCTCTCTCTCTCTCTCTCTCTCTCTCTCTCTCTCTCACACACACACACACACACACACACACACGCACTCAACCATTGTCAGAATCTATCTTGAGTTAGATTTTCCAAATACAAACTTTTGGATTCTGCAGTGATTCTTGTTCTTGTTCTATACTCCATCAATTGTATATGTTTCCAATATGTAGTTATTATTGATCACATTGTTATTTGTATTGTCCGGAGTAATGGTGCGTTGTCTGTAAACCCTTTCTTTGTACATGTAACAATGCCATTTCTTTCAGATTTTTTCAGAATATCAAAATTAGGTGTGCTCATTCTGTAAGTATTATTATAAGTACTTCCTTATTTGTGGTTGGGATTTTTTGGTGGTAGTGAATGCTTATGCAAATATAGTTTTTTGTTTCTGTAGTAGAAAAATGTGTGTATGAGTCTTGAAATGGTTAAATGTTAAATTGTAAACTATTAACACTGCCTGTAGATTTCTAGTGTCGCAAGTCGTATCATGTAGTCTGAGATAGTTTTGCTGTTTAGGCTTACAGATGTTATTTTTTGCCCTTCATCTTTTGTGGATTGAAATTTTTATATATATTAAAGTAGCAACTTTGTGTTTTCATACTTGCCATGCAGGCCAGAGGACCTTAGGGTCCCTTTTGAAAGATTTGGGCCATTAAAGGATATATATTTGCCGAAAAACTACTATACAAGGTATGCTTCATTCACAGGAGCTGGAATGTTGCAAGCTTATGTCACGCTAGATGAAGTCATATTATAGTAGTTTCTTTTCAATGGCAGGGAACCACGTGGCTTTGGATTTGTCAAGTTCCGTTATCATGAAGATGCAGCTAAGGCAAAAAGCCACTTGGATCGTACGGTTATTGGTGGACGTGAAATAAGGATTGTATTTGCTGAGGAGAACAGGAAAACTCCTCAAGAAATGCGTAGGGTTTCACGTGTGAGGTTGCGCATGTATTCCATGACTTGCCCTTTATTGCACTGGATGCTTTAGTAGTTGTTGAATGAGGTTATTTTACTCTTTCTTTGCAGTTCCCGGGGAAGCTACAGGAGAAGAAGTAGGTCATTGTCTGCCAGACGCCAATATCACTGTGAGTGGAAATATACCTACCTTTCGTCTTTGGCATTTCAAAACCTCAAATTTTGTTCTTGGGTTCTGATTTAGAAGCTTCTGCTTTTTAAGTGTATAAACAAAACCATCTCTCCGTAATATATCTTTTCCATGCTGAATGTGTTCTCGTATAATGCAGCTTATTCACGCTCACCTTCTCCAGCAAGACATGATTCAAGGTCTGCTTTGTAAACATCAGAAAAGTTTCTTCACTTTTGTATCTCCTTTTTGAAGTCGATGGATGTTTTCTGCAGCTTAAAATACTCTTATATATTTGTCTGTTCACTTAGTTGAGTATACAATTCTCATTTTCTGACTTTAGATTTCTCTGATCGTTGCATGCCGATGTAATTGTCTAGCTATTGTCTATGATTAATTTATTAGTTACTCAGTATTATGTGGTTAATGGATACTCATTGGGTTGCTATTAATTGATTGGCTATATTTTATTTGAAATCAGAGGATGCTATTGCATTTCCTACTAGTCCTTGTATAATGTAGCCAAGTATCTTTCTTTATTTTTTTTTGGCATGTTCTGAAAGTAAACATGAATGTCTTCTTCTGTAGTTACCTTGAGCTTGAATGAGCAAAGTGATTGATTTCAATCTTGTGAGTAATGATTTTGACACTAATGTTCTCTGCTTCCAAAATTTAACGTTGTTGTACTTGCACTTACAAGTCATAGGTTAGTCCTGAAGGAGTTTACGATCTTTTACAGCCATGTGCATTATAGATTTGTAGATTTTTATGTGCATATATTTGCATGCATGTAATAAATATTTTTGGTATACACTGTATATATGTATATAGAAATAGATTTTTTTTGTGCATATATTTGCATGCATGTAATAAATATTTTGGTATACACTATGCATATATGTATATAGAAATATACATATGCATAGACTTACATATATATATATATATATATATGTGTGTGTGTGTGTGTGTGTGTGGTAAGATTCTAATAAAATCAAGCCCTGGTGTAAAAACACCGTGAGAACCATACATGATGTTATTTTCAATTGTGTATGATGGTGTTAATATGGTGCTATAATTGGCACAAATGCTATGTTATATATAATTATATTTATCGTCTTGCTGCATTTTAAAATGAATCCTAATAAAAAATAGCACCGAACACAATTGAAAATAGCACAGTTAAAATTAGCATTCTCACAGTTTCTTACACCAAGGTTTGGCTCTTGTTTGAACCACATCCTATACACACCACGCACACACACACACACACACACACACACACACACACACACATGGGGATAATTGATTGGCACGACCAGTTGTTTAGATGATGCAAAAAGTTTTTCTAGTTAAGTACTGAATGCTTTATATTACTCCTTATCTTTATCTGAAACTGCCTATAGAATAGACTATTTTTCCTGGTGTTAGCTGGATAAATTTGTTCTTTTTGGAGTCCTGAAACATGAAGAGTGATCTCTTCTTGCAAGCGTGGGTTAAAGTGATGTAACAGCCTTGTCTGTGCAGATCTTAAAGGACAGAGAGACATAAAGCATTCCAGAATAGTATGACGAATGAGAAAAAGGCATCATAGAGTACTTGCTTTTTGTTTTGTGGAGGCAACTCCAGAAGTTTCTAATTCCAATTGTCACCATGAAAAACCTTCACGTTCTGGGAATTATGTGTCTTACATTGGATGACCGACTTGGTATGATTTGTGAAATAATCACGAGGATACTGCATCTTTAACTTATCATTCTTCTTTGCATGTTAGTTTGATTTCCTACTGTTGCGTACTATCCAGTTAAAAGAATCAAAGAATTTAGAGGTTTATCTGGCCAAAGAAAGAAATCATCTTCAAAGTCAAAGAGCAAAGCCTTTCAAAGTTATTACTGTTTGAAGTGAAAAAGCCAAAGAAAAGATAGTAAAGAGATTTGTAATGTTGGGGGCACAACAGCTTTGAAGTTTTCTGATGCTGGTGTACCTGTTCACTGCTGTAAAGCCTTATGCCCCCAAAGTATCTAGGTTGGCTCACAAATTCTGAAAAAGAATTCAGGTAAAAGGTCATGCATCGGTAATTAGGTATCTCGAGGGGAGCTTTTCTTGTTTCATCATGCCTTTGTACTGTTCATTCCCTTTCTTGACTTGAAGTTTTTAAACTGAATTTTGGGCCTCTATATTGTGAATTGTGAAGTGACATTGTTAACTTTGTATGGGATTTACATATACATAGGAGTTGGTTGTGTTTCTTCTTGGTTTATTTGTTTTTTTTTGAAAATTGCAGTAACTAATTACATTCTTTTGACGACACTTTCTGTTTCCTAGAGATAGGAGACGTAAAACAAGGGATGATTACTACTCTCCACAGAGATCGAGATCTCTGTCGAAATCAGTTTCTCCTAGGGATGAGAAAAGGTATAGATCTCGTGAGAGGTCCCAAAGGCATTCCAGGTCTTTATCCCGTTCAGTTTCTCCACATGTTGAGAAAAACCACAAGGGTCAAGCGTCTCCAGGTTCTAGAGGAAATGGTCAGACTGGACATCCACCAAGCAGGTCCCTGAGTCCAAGGAGGAAATCCAGAAGTCCGGCTAGAGCTCGTTCTTTATCTCACAGGTTCGTGGTGACTTAGAATGTGTTTGTTTTGGGAGATGTTACTAGAAGTTACTTGAATAATTGAATAATGGAATGTTTTAAGTTGGATAAAATGTGACGATCGAGAGCTTGGAGGTGTTGGTATGGTTGTTCAGTGATTATATTAGTAAAAAATATAAACGATCTTTTAGGTGAAAAAAATAGATCAAAGTTGAAGTCCCTATCAACAAAAATGTCAAATACCTATGACTCTTTTACTAGCTCTCTCAGAAATCTTATAAGATTTCAAACATCGTCTAAGCTTTCCCAAACACCCTCTTTTTCATTTTAGTTGAAAGAGAAATCAAACCATGAAGAAACCTTTGTTGTTTTTGTTGAAATATTTGGATTCTGCTGCCTCGTAAACCATTGCAAACCTATTGTAATCTGGCATTTTTCCTTTTGCAGTTCTCGCTAAAGGCTCATTTGATTGTGTTTCTACGTCTCTGGACTTGTTGATTGCTTTTTGTGGATGATACCACTTTTTTGCTTAGCGGGGGGACACGACCTTGTTGCTATTGTTTATGTTGCCTGTAGGTGGAGAATTGATGTGAACCAGTTGATGACTCGATTTATCTTGATGTTGATATGATTACTGTTATTAGGTAATTTGCTATAGTTGAACCTTACTATTTGTGACCAGTAACGGAAAACCGAACCGACTTATTTCTCTCGGGTTATACCGGGTCCTTGATTAACTGCGAGCAATTAATGAAAACTGATTACAGTTCTGTTTGTGGGAATTGGCACTGCGTTCCAGAATTCCTATTCACCGGATTCTCCAGGATTCATAATATCAATACACAATAAAGTAAAACATGCATGAAGTATTCAAATTTTACCAGATTCGTAATTTAAGTACACAAATGTAATGTAAAATATTGCATGTTTGAGGGCTGAAAAAATTAGACACCATGAAATTTAGAAGAACGATATGATACAGAACATTATGCAAAACAAAATCGATGAAAATACGACAGACGCCATGAGGGATGGTAAATAAATACATAATATATAATATAATTTTTTTATTAAAAATATATATAAAATTATTTATTTCCAAAAAAAATTATAAAATACCATAATTCGATAAACTATGAAATATGCATGCATTTGCTCATGAATATATGTCATGTTTACCAAGATAGCAAAATCGTGTTTCTTTTTTTTTTTTTTTCCAAAAACGACAGGAATTCTCATTAAAAAGACATAGTACATAGTTCAATACATCAGACCCAAAAAACAACAACTAACCCAACACAATGAAAAGAACATGCCGAAGGCTAACAAGCCAGGGAGAACCGCACTAAATGCGGCCTAGAAAGCCAAACACAATGATGATGCACACGACAACAGAACTAATAAACTACAGATCAACTCACACAAATAATAAAACTAGCTCACACAAGCATCTGCCACTGTACTGTTACCAGACCTAGCAAAGCCTGTGTTGCTATCCCTGTTACTCCTGTGAGACTCCATAAACCATTGCCAGTCTAAAATTGCAGCCTGTACTATGGTCCTTTCTGGTCTCCAGATGCCTTCAAACTTCCATAAATTCCGAGACTTCCAGAGCCACCACAATATGTATGTTGTGAGTTGAATCCGTGCCTCTGCAATCTCAGACTTATCCACAGAACATATAGATCCCCACCAATCTTTAAAACTGCAACTGCTAATTGAAGTAGCTTCCCATTTCACTGGAGCATGCTTCCAAACTTGTATTGCTCTCCTACATTTCAGAAACACATGCTCAATCGTCTCGGCTTCTTCCCCACAACTGCTGCACACCACATCCACCATTATTCCTTTCTTCCTAACATTGACATTAACTGGAAGAATGCCATTGAAACACCTCCATACAAAATGTTTGATTTTACCCTGAACTCTCATTTTCCAGCTTCTCAATGTAATTTTTCTTTCTCTAATAGCAGTATTACTCCCTTCTGCTATATCTAGTGTAATACCCCATTTCATCGTGGATTAATTGGGAATAAATATTGATTATTATTATTATTATTATCATAAATGTCAAATTGCTATTATTAATTGTCTAAATATTATTAATTGTCAAATTGTTATTATTTGTCTAAATGCATATTTTTTTTATTACTAATATTATTATTATTTTAAAATAATAAAATGTGTGGTATATATATATTTAATCCGGTTTTTATCTTATTGATCGTGCGATTTTAGTCGAGCCCGAGAACGAGTTATTATATCGAACCCGAACCGAGCCCGATTTCTTTTCCGTACGTGCGTGCGTGCGTGTACCTTATCTTGGTCAACAAGATAGCAAAACCTAAAATTTATTTAAGGAAATTGTATGTATATATATATATATACACACTCACGCACGCAGCAAATAAGAGGAGACCGCAGCCTTCATCATCTTCAACCTTCTTCATCCCGCAGCGATCGTCTTTCCTTCGATCTGCTCCTTCGAACCACCATCATCATCCGTCCTAGCCATCATCGCTCACCAGCAAACCATCGCCGTCCTCTGCTTGCAGCAATTTTTCTCGAAGAAAACCAGCGGCCACCATCTCCTCCGTCAACATTCACTTCGGCTTGCGGGACCCGTCGAGTTCCGTCGAAGAGCCTATCGTGATCGTCGAGTTCCGTCGGAGCGTTAAATGAAGCCGACGAGTTCCGAACGTCGAGCCGCCATTGTCGCCACCTTCTCCGTGAACAGTTGCAGGCCACCGTCGACCCGTCTTCTGTGCTCGCCGCCGTCCGTCGCTGCTCCTGCTCGCGAGTCCCGCGCCGTTCGTTCATCTTCGAGCCCTGAATCTCGCGAGCCCGCTTCCGGCGTTTCCCCACGCGCAATAGTCGGGTGACCCATCCATGTTCGATCCTCACCCCTTTCGAGTACCCAGGACCTCCGTCGTGCGCCACAGCAGACCGGCTAGCAACATCGTCACAGTCCATCTCTCGCCAGCAACGTGACGGTCCTGCAATGCGCAAGGACCAACCCCGGCCATTGTCGTCCTCCGTCGGGTCGTAAGCCGCCATCGCAAGCCTCCTCGTTTCGGTCGAGCACCACCAGCGAGTTTCCCGCTGTCCGTCGGTACCTCCGCAATCATTTTTCGACGTCCCTAGCGAGCCGGAGCAGCCCCGCAAGACAACGTAATTGCCACCCCGCGAGCCGTTGACGTCGAGCCCGACGAGCGTGCTCCCGGCCTCCGAACAGCCCATCTTAGTTGTCGTCTCGTTCGTTGTCACTTGTTAATCTCGAGAACGGTACTGAAGCTCAAATTCCCTTTTCGTTATTCGCGTATTCGAGCTTTATTGATTACGTGCTTGTTCGGTTTATATCTTTTGTGATTTTTGAGGGATTTTATTTGATTAATGTAAGATCATATGAAATCCTATCAAAAACGTGTAGGGC